TTTTTTGTTTGCTTTTAAATTGTTAACTGTTTCCTTAAAGAAAAAATATAATTAAGGACAGTGTTGTCAGTCGACCGATTAGAGTGTTGTCACACTATCTCGTTTTTCCTGTTGTTCATCGAATGCGTATCACATTACCTGATGAATGGATGTCGACGTAACTAAAACGTCGGTTTCCACTGTCAACAAACTGTGAAATACCTGTACAGAAACATATTATTGTTATCACTGTTTCTTCACAGAGAATGAAAGGGATGACGATATGTTTTTGTATTACTTTATCGGCAGTGGAAATCCACGTTACCAATAAGTAACGACGCATATTGTGCAACTTTAATAATTCTTGACGTATGCATATTTACATTAAATATTTAATTATAATATAATGACGCATTTTAAAGCAAAAACATCGAAATCAACAACATTTAGTTTTCTCCAATACAAAATTTGTAAAAAATATGTTTTTTTCCTCTTTAAATTAGAATAAGACAATGACAATACAAGCTGTTGGATAGATTTAACATTGCTATGTTTCCCTGTACAAACGAAGAATTAAGCTTCTTCACATTTGTTAGTTATTTTATAGTGATTTATATATTTTTATTAATAAATAGCTGTCGCCCGCGACTCTGTCCACGCTAAATTAAAAAAAAAACTTAATTAGTAACCTATGTGTTCTTCCTGACTATGTTCTACGTTTATCAAAATCCGTTCTGCCGTTCCTGAGATACCTTCAAACAAACATCCATCTAAATATTCGCATTTATAATATTAGTAATATATTTTAACAAATCTATTTGTATTTTTTGTATATTCAAAGCAGTTGTAAGTCGATCTTCCTGTACGTTACGGGACGTTGCCCGCATGTTCACCAACAAAAGAATGGTAAGACCAATGGCAGCTCAGACAGAACTGGTCTCGGCACAAGGAAGTTGCGCTGTTAACTGTGCTCTTACAAATTTCCGAGGATTCAGTCATTCGAACACCAAGATGGCTTGTATGGTGTTTTTTTTATAAGAGTTTAAATTACAAAAATGGACAATGCAGGTAGATAGGGTTGCCATAAATTAATATGGAAAACGGACAATGTACTGTTGTCTTGGCGAACGAAACATCATTCATTTTTAATTTATCAATAGGATAAATTAAGAAGAAATTCTATAAATGAAAAGAACTAATTATTTGGTACAATAATGTAACTAATGCATTATTCTAACTGTAAACTGTTAACTTTAAAATAAGCATTAACATTATTCCTTATTTTTTAAATATTGTCCACACAAATTATGGTTACCATGGTCGGAAAATGCGGTCCAGACGCGCCGCCGATCACGTATTCATAAAAGTGGAACCGAGTTGAATAGGAATGGAAAGAGCCAGCACTTACCGTTTCTATTGTTACAAATCCAAAAAATTATCTTTTTAAATCAAGACGGTATGGAGGCGTAAAGGTATTTTGATTTTTTTCCGTTTTAACCCTTTCTGCATTCTGCTCTGTTTGGTGTCCAGTATTAAAAATGCCAAAAGCTATGAAATCTTACTAATATTATATATGCGAAAGTTTAGAATGCATGTTTGGTAGAAGGTATCTCCAGAAATTTAGTATACCTAGATGTAAAACATAGTTTGGAAGAACACATTGACTACTAATTAGGTTTATTCTTATTACGCGCGGACGGAGTCGCGGGCGACAGCTTTTATAAAATAATTAATATAAAACTTTTAGAAGTTTTTGATAATTATAATTACAAATAGTTTTTCATTCATTTCTTTCGTAATTGTGGCCTATAGACTTCTCTGCGGTCGGGTGTCGGTTTCAAAAGGTTCATTATGCGGCTATGGGTACCTAATACTGTCTACTGTTACGCAGGGTTATTGTTCTTGTGTTACTCTATGCTTTTCTATTTCTTAAACCATTGCATCGTAGAAAACGAGATTATTTAGAATCTTATTCTATTGGGATGGACTGATGAACTTTTGTACTACAGTATAAATACATTTTTTATAATAATACTTCTCAATTGTCCTAATCTTATATATAAAATTCTCGTGTCACAATTTTCGTTCCCATACACCTCCGAAACGGTTTGACCGATTCTCATGAAATTTTGTGAGCATATTGATTAGTTCTGAGAATCGGTAAACATCTATTTTTAAATCCCGCGCGGACGGAGTCGCGGGCGACATCTAGTATAATATAACTCAGCAAATATAGTCCAAATGTAGATACTTTCAAAGACAGAAAAACTAAGAATTAGTTTGATTACAAGGGAATGTAAATGATAATCGAGAAGAAAACGATTTTATCGTCAATAAGTCTTGTAGTATGTTTGCTCTTTGAACTGCGTTATCACAATGTGGTTACATAGTTGCTGGTACAGCTTCCTACAAATCAATCAGTCGCACATCGTTGTTGTAGACCTGTTTATTTTGAACTTGTATTTGCTCCGGTAATCCCGATGAAGTCACGGCAAAAATACGCACCGCTGGTTGAATTTATATAGAAAAACGGAATGTATATAAGATAGTATTTAGTAAACATAAATTAACACGAACAAAACATTTAAATTTTAATTTTAATTTGTTCTTCATGTTATATGCAATAGTCATAGCAAATGTTTAAGCTATTTTCAATAATCTACTAATATTTAAACAAACATAATTACGTTTTTAAAGGTATTAGAAAAGCCCTTTAACATAACTTCCTTATACATATTACATACTAAGCGCAGAACAAAATAGCGCATAATATCAAAACAACAATTGCGGTAATAAAATCCCTCTGTGAAATGGTTCGTTGAAAACTTGTGTTTCAATCGTAAAGACCGTTTCAAGTTTCGTAAGTTGAATTTCCGCAATTTTAGGATTACTTCCAGCATTGACGTCAAGACTTTCAAAGGCTTCGCAATCAAGCGGTACTAATTTAAGCTTTCAATTATGCAAAAAATAAGGTATTTAAAGTTATATTCGTTTGGTTTTTATTGTCGCAAAACCCTAATAATGTGGACGTCGGTTTTCAAGAGGATATCTATCATATCTTCGTATTATTCTATAATATTAACACATGTTAGGATTATTTGAAATAATTAATATGTTTCCGACCTATGGATAAATCGTTACGGCCAGTCGTGTAATCGTTAAAGGATGGATTTAGTATGTGAAAGGGATTGTTTCAACTGTGAGTATCGAGTATTAATTGTGTTTGACAAGGTTGTTAATGAATTTGGTAACTATTAGCAACTGGCACAGGTCTGCGATAAGAACGGCCTTCAAGGGTTCTGCGTTCTGCTTGCGAGGTGAAGCGCATTCGCGGACGCGATTTGCAAATGGAATAATTACATTGACCAAAAGACCTCACTTTAGTAGATTAGAGAGAGACCATTCATATTTTCATAATAAGAAAGAGAGGACAAATACTTTGAATGTTTCTTTAGCGTAAATTTAAAAATAGCGTTTTTTTTTAGTAAATACGTTCCCTATAATTACCATGAAACTCCTACTTATCATAAAATTGTGAATGGGGTATTTTTAAAGTCCCAAATTATTCTTTACATTCAGCTTTCCGCGATACCGTTTTAAAATCCCGTCTGAGTCTGCACTTGTTGAATGCATTTTGCAAAAACGTTTAAAAAAACATTTACAAGAGACGCTTTTTGCTTTTGTATTTTATTTGTTTTGACGTTCACTCTATATTTTCCTTTTTTGTTTATAATCCCGGTTATTTGAAGCGATCATTGAATTCGTAAAGTTTATTAGTAAAACCTATTAGAAGACATTTATATATATTTTTAATGATTGCAAATAATTGAAATTAGTTATTTTAAATGAAATTAGTAGATAATTGTGTAATTAGCCTTGGTTATTCCTTGCTGGTTATCAGAGCGGTGCGTGCGCAGCGCGGAACCGATGACGTCACATGCCTTCACACCCACAACTGACGAGACGTTCATGGACCAATCCATTACACTCTATTAGATAAAGTTCCTTCAAATATCTATCACAAGATTGGATTTTTATTAAAACATTGCAATTTACAGTAGTTTAATGTATGGCTAGTAATTAAAATTGATGAAACGACCAACATTTGAAAAATTATTATTTCCTTGCAGTCGGGACTTCGTCCGTGCGGAATTAGAAAGAATCATAATAAGCCTATGTTTTATATGTAATCCAAATTTCATCGAGATCCGTTTAGCCTTTCAGGAGATACGTTCAAACTAACATCTATCCATCCAAACATTCGCATTTATAAGATTAGTATGATGTATGTAACTTTTTCTTTGAAACAATAAACTTAATCTAATCAATGTCGTTGTGACAGTTATGGTATCTTGTATTTCCGTACAATTGTAAACATTTTCTTATCGAGTGTTTACTATCTTAGGTACAACTTAAATGTGTTCACTCCAATGAACGAACGATAACAACATTAAAAACAAAAGCTTCCTATCATCACTGCCTACATTTCATTAATGTACGATAAGACAGGCAGACAGACTGTTATGATAACAAAATAGATCCAGCAGATAGGCATGACTAATATAACATTCATTTAGGATATCTGTGCTGATACACTACAATTATGTACAGAACAAAATGTATCTATTCAGTAGCATGATTTATCCGAAAAATTGATACGCTGACAATTAAGCGGCATTCCACAACGGTGCGATTGTGGAACGGTCTATCCTCGGCAGTATTTCCAAACCAGTACGACTTAGGGACCTTTAAGAAGCGAGTATCACTTTTCATTAAAGGCCGGCAACGCATCTGCAGTTCCTCCAGTGTTGCAGATGTCCATGGGGGTCGTTGATCACTTCGGTGTTACCGCCGTTCGTTTACCCCCTTCTCTTATAAAAGAAAGCGTAGTTGACATAGAAATGGTCATATCTAGCTCGAAGGACCAGATTTGCATTCACCCCGATATTTATGTAGACATCTGGCAGTATTTTTTCACTCTTCTTTGAGGGACTTTTAATTATTAACATTCTTCTTTCCAGATTGGTAGATCATCGGAGTCCCCGATCGACTTCGTGGTTATGGACACAGTGGCAGGCGACAAGAGCGGCGACACCAAAGTGCTGCAGAGCACCATCTCTCGCTTCGCCTGTCGTATCCTCGCCGACCGCAACGATGTAAACAACTGCCGCATCTACGCCGCCGGCTTTGACTCTTCCAGGAATATATTTCTTGGCGTAAGTTGTACCATGATCTGTTTTTTGTCGAGTTTTAGGTCCCTACTTTTAGTAATATGTGTTAGGATTTTCGTAAAGAGAGAAGAGTAATCTTTGAGACATTACTTTCCAGTAGTAAGCCTTTTGCAATGCTGAGTTATTGTGGATACTTATTGCAAGGTAACTGATGGTGGCTCCCTTCTTAAAACCGTGGAAATAGGAAGATTTATCTATGCGTTTTGCTTTGGGGCACGTCACACTTAAACAGTAAAACATATGTTTATTTTTGTCTTAAATTTTTTATTAAGTGCTGATGCTGTAGATAAGATGGATTAGCGATATAATGTAGTTAATCTCTATTGTTATAACTATCCGTGCTATTAATGATGTAAAATGTGTTTATTACAGGAAAAAGCGACAAAATGGACGGAGAATCACGAGATAGATGGTCTGACGACGAACGGTGTGCTGATAATGCACCCGCGCGGTGACTTCTGCGGCGGCAGCGCCACGTGCGGACCCTGGCGCGAGACATCCGTCGGTGGCGCTGTCTTCTCGCTCAGGGAGAGCCGCTCGGCACAACAAAAGGTGACCTCAACATATCCTCTGTACATATAACTATGGTAGACGCCAGCTACAATAGCACGACCACAGAGAAAACACGCCTCAAGAAGAACTAATTCTGCGAACAATCTGATAAATACGCCGTATGTAGGGGTATTCCGGAAGCCTAATAAGCCTAATAGTCCTGTTTCTATTCTCATTCTTTACTTATAAGGAGATGAAGGGAATGTGTAGTAGATTTCCTTCTCGTTAGAAAGAGGAAATATTCTCTTTCTGTGCGTCGCCTCTTCAGTCGATTAAAGGTTGCATCTGTAATTGCAGATGTCTATTGGCAGCGGGAACTTCGCTATTTCGGCGAGTGGTTTTGAACTTCAGTTTGCCAGTACTAGGCATGTTACATAGCGATTATAATTATAATGTAAAATTTACACATTTTGATTTTACTATTCCAGGGTGTGCCGTGTCAAGCAGAGACAAATGTACTGAGAGATGGAACTATGATAGATCTGTGCGGTGCCACGCTGCTGTGGAGGAGCGCGGAAGGACTTAAAAATTCACCTGTAAGTTCTAAATTTTACCATTCTAAAAGAAGCTTCTTAATCACAATATCTTTGATATCAAAATGTTCTTTTTACTTTGAAACTTTGACTATAAAGAAACGGACTTGGTAAAGAACCAGAGTTGTCTTAAATAAATTTTATCATTATTCTCGAGGGGAATCACAAATGTGCATATCAAATCAGCTCTTTATGAAACTAAGTGATTAATGAGATATGAAATGTATCAGACGAAGCGTACCCTGGAGGCGCTGGTGGACGAGCTGAACGCGGGGCGGCCGCAGTGTCCCGTCGGCCTCAACACGCTCGTCATCCCGCGCAAGCTCTCCGCCGCGCACCAGGACCTCAACCAGCCCTACGTCTACCTGCACTGCGGACATGTGCAAGGTAACAACGAACAACGCTCGCTAGAGGGCGCTGCCAGCAACACCTAATTATTTCACTTTACGATCTATCCGTACTTTGGTTCGAAATCATCATTCAATCCGTGAAATCGATTTGAAAATTACTTTTATTAGTGTAACCCATGTCATACTAGCCGTTGCCCGCGACTCCTTCCGCGTGGAATTAAAAAAAAAAACTTAATAAATAGTCTATGTAATCTTCCTGACTATGTTCTAAGTCTTTATCAAATTTCAGCGTAATCCGTTCAGCCGTTCCGGAGATACGTTCAAACAAACATCCATCCATCTAAACATTCGCATTTATAATATTAGAATTAATAATCTCAAGTTTCAATTTGTGGACAGCTATAGATAGATAGATAGAATTTTGGTGTATTGTGTTTTTAACTTTTTTTTGTTTATAATTTGAAGACAATGTACTTATGTAATGTTGTAGGCGAGCACTCGTGGGGCGCGGAGGGCAGCGAGGCGGGCGTGCGGCGATGCCCGATGTGCCTGACGGCGGGCCCCGTGGTGCGCGTCTGTATGGGCATCGAGCCCGCATTCTACGTAGACTCCGGCCCGCCCACATACGCATTCAACCCCTGCGGACACATGGCCTCCGAGAGGACCGTCAAGTATGGCTCTTCTACTCTTTCATCATCATCAGCTCGTCCTCTTTCCTGCTGGTATCTAAATTCACTCCCTTCTTAAGGATATCCTCTTTCATAAGATCCATTCATACTTTCCTCGGTCATATTTTAGCCATCGAATCTCATTACGTTCTTGTTTATATTATCAGTCAAATGAAAGAAATACTGATTATTAGCCTATGTGTTCTTCCAGGCTATGTTCTAAATCTATGAAAAATTTTAGCAAAATCGGTTTAGTTATTTTAGACAAATTAAAAAACAAATATTCATCCATCTAATTAATAGTAGGAATTAAAATTGCTTGCTCTAATATTGTTAGCACTTTTAGTAATATTTAGATAATTTTATTGAGGTTTAATAGCAATATGTGTTGTGTAGGTACTGGGCGAGTGTGGACATCCCGCACGGCACGAACGGCTTCCACGCGATCTGTCCCTTCTGCGCCGCCCCGCTGCAGGGCTCACCCGGATACGTGCGCCTCATCTTCCAGGACAACCTCGACTGAATCTCATCCCAGCCCATACCACAACACACAACACACACACGTAAATATTTCCTATCTTATTTATCTCTCTCTTTCTCTCACACTACACTGACACTAAGGAAATTTGCCAAAGTTCAAAGTAAATCAATTTAAATAAAATGATATTTAAATTATGATTTCAACTTTTTTATATATCGACTTATTTGAGGACCATTAAAAAATACAATTTTTTACTATTCAGAATTATGCAATTTACGTTTTTTTCTGAAGACTGGAGACCAAATTTCTGTATAAAATATATTTGAAACGGGGATTTGGGTCTTAGAAACCCACTGTTGTTTACATAGGAATCGAATTTAATGGAATGTCAACTTTAACCATTTTTTAAAATTTCAGATCCGCGTATAGAACTATACGTAGGACAGTGCATCGATAACGACGGAACAAAGACATCAGTAATGGCTAGACTCGGCTATAGACTTATTACATCGCTTGATGAATGGGAAGAACAACAACGGCCATGCATCGGAAAAAAAAATTCGTATTGACAGTTTCAACAGTCCAAGTATACTTGTTTACTTAGTTTATAAAATCATGTCATCTCTCAATTTCTCATTGAAAAAACAAAGACAAAAATAGGTATAAATAATGTCCACGATAGTCAAACATCACGGTTACTGGGAATTAATGATCACACTGTAGCAATGTACTTTGATTTGGCACTTCAGGAACTTGTGGACTGTTCTGCCTGACGTGCCAACTCAAGTGTCGTGTGCTTTTTTTTTAATATTCATATCAAATTAATCACTTATATTTCTAATAAGGTTGATTCTTTTTGAATAAATCTGTCCACTCTATTATAAACCGTATGCTAAAGCAACAAGGTACAAAATAGAATAATTTTTCAAAAAGTCAAAAGTTCCCAGTATGTGATCATTCAGTATAAAATATCGATGCATTAATATGATTATTTAAGACTGGAAATTCACCAAAGTTGAAATTATAAATAAAACACAATCAATGCCACCAGCACATTCAGTAAGTTTACATGAATTGTACGTGAAATAGTGGCATTGAATGTGTTCAAATAATTGTTCTAGATAAATTTTAGCTTTGTGTCGACATTTTGACATTCAATAATGGACTTACCGATTTATTAAATCGACTTATAAACTTACCAAAATGAGAAAATATTTTGTGAATATTATCTGTTATCGATAAAAACACTTCCAACACTATTCATAAGCAACTTTGGAAGTAAATTATTTAGACATTTAACAATTTGCAAAAATAATTTAGTAAGAGATGCAGTCAAAAAAAAATTCCCATTCCCATCCCAAGGTACGCGTTCATTGGGACGCGCCGGACGCACCGCACGGACGGTCCGCAATGAATTTTACTTTGTATAATTTTACACAAGGCCTGCATCCATTATCCACGCAACCCGCATCAAGACAAAGCAAATCCGTTTAATCCTTGCATGCATTGCGTCCGATGTGGACCAATGTACGTGAACCTTTAAAATCGATTATCGTCCAGCTTTCATTCTCTGGCGTCCATGAAGCTATCAATCTTCATTTATGTACCTACGAATGCATGTAATTTCATTATTTTATATAGATAATCGTTTTAAACATGGCGAGCTTGGAATTTTTCAATATTCAGATTGGTTAAAACATCGTATTGCAATATTAAGCGCTAGTGTTGTGCTAACTATCGACACAAATTATCGACGCAAAATAAATGATATAATTTATGAGATGCAAATATTTATAATGTTGAGAGAATGTTCTCTCACTAATGTTAGTGTCTAAAATAATTTTTAAGATGAAATGTTTTCCGATGACCGATCTATTTATTTGTTAATGACATGTAAAATAAACAAAAAAATCGAATGGATTTTAAGAAATAAATGAACAATAATCAATGCTTTGTATATTGCGATACTTTTTATGGTTTCGTTGATGTGTGAATGATTTAACAAAAAAAATATATAGAGTCATGATATAAAGAATTTATTACTAGTATGATTATGCCCTGTTTTTGGAAAGTCAATCAATTTTTAGTAAACTTTGTTTAACCCATTAGTGCATAAAGTTCGATAAATCGGACGCCAATAAAATTATTATTTTAGGAGTTATATATATTTTACTAACCGTTTATTTTTTAAACAGTAGTGTAATATATATTTGACGTGGTAATACTGTTGGTATGACATTCCGGGAAGCGATTTATCGTACGGGATATAAAATCTAAACTTTCATATTAATTAAATATTTTATACAATTTAATGGTCAAATACACTTAAAATAAAAATATATTACTGTGGTCATAATGAAAAAGGCGTTAATAAACTTTATGCACTAATAACCCATTAAAATGTCTGATTTTTTTTTGATAATTTTGATTTGACTAGAATTAACAGGACTGTTCTGTTTCTTGTTTATGGCTCTCCCTCATCGGATTGGGCCAATGTCAAGTGTCTATGGTTCTGTTTAAACTTGTTAGTGATTGAACAGGACACGATTAGTTGAACAGTTTGATATGTTTTTCAGAATTACAGTGTAAATTATAATATTATGAATATCATGCAATACTTATGCAGTGTGTTTGAGATTATAAAATAATACAATGGGTATATAAAAATGGTATATATTTAAAAAGAATGAATGTTTTTTTTTTCGTTTAAGTGATATTTTCGTTGTGATATGCAGCTTTTTCGGAAAAATGTGAATAAAGGCATGTTTATATCAACAATTATATATTTAAAGTTAACCCATATTTTATTGTATTTATAGAGGGTTTGAACTTTAGAAACAAATACAAAATAACAATGTTTCGGAAGTGAAAACTCATGATTAGTTTCACAAGTGACAATCGATTTCTATATGTTGTATTAATTTAATATATATAAAAATATGTTATACCTAACTAAAAAAGATCCAAAAGATTCAATTTTTTATTGATTGTAATGCACAGATACCTTCTCTATATAATTTTTGTATAGGCGATTTTTTTTTTCAACAAGCTATTAGCTCTCTGTAACCGCACCCTTATGATACATCTTATTCGTTGGTTTAAATTAGTTGCGAGAATGTATGAGATATGTAAATAGTGTTCATTTCCAGTTCTTGTTAGTTAATTTATGATTGTTAGAGTGTGGTACGGCTTTTAGTATAAGCATCTTAGCAGTAGCACGAGCCAACTAGAATATAATGTGTTTCAATATTGTTGGCTTTTAATATTAAATGATTTATACAGTATGCACTGTGTTGCTATATTTTATTGTGTATCTGTTTCTGATTATATTTCCGAATGAATTCATAATACTGGCAGTTTAAGAATTGTTTTTATATAAAATAAAAAAACATTCGAATTTCGAACGTGGGAAAATGAACGCTTTTGATTGGTCCGATTGTGGAGGTTAGAAGTGTCAATCAATGGCGCCTAAAACATTTACTAGAGGGAAAAAGTCAAAGATGTAATTACATAGATAGACCTTTACATACATAAAAGGGACCCTATTGAATTACGCCATAATAACAAATTCTTTTTTTTTAATGAAGTGTCTAGTAAACCAATTGAAATACAAATTTTACGTGTTTGTCAAACTGTAAGTGCGGAGCTTTGTTCGAGACTATTGTTCATATCTTATGTCTGACGAATTATTTGATCAAACCTTGACATTTTTAAATAGTTTACTGGGCATTTAATATTTGTAGAATATGGTCTATGTAATGTTATTTCACATCAATTGTACTCGAACATGTCATGGAAATTGTTCTTTCTATGTATTTATTCCTTTGAATTGAAGACTTTGACAGTGTTTTAATTTACCTATAAACGCATCTTGTATGGGGAGTTGTATAAATAATGTAAGTAATATTGGTAGCGATGTTAGTTTAGAGATTGGTAATGAAAAATAGTTTTTGTACAATTTGAAATCACTAGTTAGTGAGACACGGCATAAGAGTTTTCGATACGTCATCCTTAAGATATATTGTATAAATGTTTTCAAATATCTTAGCGGATCTTAAGTTCGCGCGAGTCACTGCGCAGAACTAAATTTTTAATTCGTTTGGGCCGAGCAAACGGAGAGCACTGCGCAGCCGCCAAGATATTTGAAAAGAGTTATATCTGTTATCCTAGTGAGGTTTATAAATTTGTTTTAAGAATTTTTGTGATACAAATGATTAAATAAGCTAAAGTATTGTAGAAATTAAAAAGCTGTGTTGTAATATTACGACATTTGACCTGCTGACATTTTCCGTAGCCCGTCTTTAGTGAAAGTAATTTTGCGTCTGTATTTTTTATATATCGCTTCAATATTAGTTGTGCGATGAATATTTAGCATTATTTTGGTTTAAGATTGAAGCCGGCTGTTACGGAATAAATCAAATGTACTATAGAATATGACAAAATGTAAAGATTCACGACAATGGGTTTGATTTACTATCAAGATGTGAAAAGGAATGGCGTAAAAAGTCGTAGGGGATATATATGGATGCGACAAAGAATAAAATAGATGCGATTGCGCACGTAACAACATGTTCTAACATTAGTCTAAATAAGAACTGAATGCTAGCCTTAATTTTATTTATAATAATTGCTAGGATTAAATAAAACTGCTCTTTTGAGTTAGACATTTGATATGTTGTTTCATTTTTATAACAACTTATTTTTCAAGGAAGATAAGTTACAATAAAAACACAGTCCAATATTTCATTTCTTTAATAACCATAAATCAAAACAAACTTATTCATGACAATAAAATTAAAATAAGTTACAGCCGCACTCAATTAAGCGGATTTTCTTACCGTTGGCTTCTGAGCCAAAATCTTTGTATAAAACATATCGTCATCCCTGTCATTATCTTTGACAAAACAGAGATAACAATATGTTTTAAACAGGGTTGATCTGAGAAACCCCACGGTTTGTAAAACTTAAGTATAAGAAATGTACACTTAGTGAGTTCATTGCAAGTTGAGTTTGGTGGTGACTACAACCCTGACATACTGGTCGTAGGCGGTTGCGAGCGCGAGGCCTGCATGGTCGCGGTTCCATTCCCAGGCGTTGACGGGCTGCGTGCTGATGAGCATGCGCTGCAGCCGGCGCAGCTTGCCCGGCACACCGCACGCCACACCTGATCCGTCCACGTGACACCGCTGCTCCGGGTACTCGCTACCCAACATACATATACATCTAGCTTGCAAGGATCAAGACAGCTTTGTATTGTAAACTTCAAAGATACCTCTGGCTTGGGAACTTCTAAGACATATAGCTTGCAAGGTTGGAGATAACTTTATGTTAGGAGCTTTAAAAATGACCTATGGTTTGCAATCTTCTTAGATACCTATGACTTGCAAGTTTCTAAGACACCTGTAGGTTGCTAACTTCTGAGATTCCTATGGCTTGTAAGATTACTAAGATACCTAAAGCTTGCAAGCTTCTAAAACACCCCTGGCTTATAAACTTTTAACATTAGTTTCTTGCAAGCTCTTAACATCATCATCATTAACCTGCCCTTATCCCTATTCAGGGTCCGCACAGTATGTACTACTCCTCCATACATCTCTATCAGCCGTCATATCTGAATCTGCAAGCTCTTAAGATTTTAAGATTTAAGTTTAGAACTTTATACAACTGACTACTTACTATTTCCAAAGTGTAACTTGACCATTCCCAGCGCAGGTCACAAATATATCTCGGTTCTGGGGTAGATGTCGCGCCACCCATATTGTGCCACTTTGAGCCGAGTTGTCCAATACCTAAAAAAATAATTACCACTCAGTATAGGTCACTAAAGGAGCCGTTTAGTGTCGATTTCTCATAGTAAATCTACAATTAGAGATGCCCTTAGTGATGTGGCAATAAAATCTCTCATTTACACAAGCAAGACGGAGCTAGCAAATAAAATGATGACTAACTTCACTTAACTATAA